ATATATTTTTGGCCAAAGAGTTGACAACTGCTGTCACCGGTAGACTCTAAGGTGTGAAGCAAACTGAAAAAATGCATCTAAATTTACGTGACCGTAAAATATCCTGAAAATTGAAATAGATCATTAGGTATATTGTTGAACGTTTTAAAGTTGTAAATATGAGGGGATAATTGTATAAAATAAGAAGTATAGAACATAGAACTATTAGAATTTAGTTTTTGTAATAAGCATGATGACAGATTTTGAAAAATCTGTTCTATGACATTCGTAAATATTTACTATTTCCAAAAAATATACCTATTATTTCTGTAGAAAATAAAAGGTTTAGTAGAAAAATATTGACATTTTAATTTTAAGTCTAAACTCACACGAAAACGGTCGCCGGTGTCATGGCGTCTACGTGACGTCACATCCATGTTTGTCAACAGGAAACATAAGGTGCTAATATTTTGTGTTGCAAGATTCATTAATTAAATAAAAATACAAAGTTACCATAATAGTATACGTATATGCATTTTATTTACCCTTATTGTACTTTGGTATAATAATGGATACACATTATCTTTCAATGAAGAGACTAAAACATTAAGAAAATCTGATACATACCTAGTTGTCATCAAATGTAACATTAATTTTTCTACTTTTTTATTTGTACTGTAGTTCCAATCAGCTACATCGAAATAGCCCTTTCGAAGCCCAGTTAAATACATTTGTAGCTGCCATCTGCACATAAAACTTCTGGGTCGATATTCCTTTTCCACATAAATTTTTAAAGTTTTCATATTCGTGGTATATTTAATTTCAATAATACTGTCTTCACAGATTCCATCAGGCGATTCTGCCATCGTGGAATAGCTTTTGTAAACCATTATACCACATTTTTTATTTTTTTTCCCAAACTTGTACTTACAGTTTTCCTCACTTCATCCTCCAACATTTTATAGCGTTTCATGGCCGATGCGTCTGAGATTTTTCCTCCCATTATTAACGTGATCAGAGTTGCATCATTGGTTTTGCACCGACTAAATTCAAGCGCTCGTGAGACCGTCACTCTGCCATATCTTAACTCATGCCAAAAATAGCTTTGATGTTGATGTCGTCTATTCTTCAACTTTCATGTCATTTTCATCAGTTAATACGAGTTTTTCCAAAAATGTGTCGCAGGACTGTTCTTTGTATTTCAGCACCAACTTATGCATGGATAAATTTTTGATCACAAACATAGTCTTTTTGATATTTTATTAACTCGCAGTTGTTGAGGTTTACATATTTTCTTTGCTTCTTTTATAAACTTTTCAAGTACCTACCTAACGGTTCCTGATTCTGGTTTTGGTAATACAAAATTAAGCAACTGATAGTTGGGAAACACAAAATATTTAAACGAAGATAAATACTGCGGAGTACAAATGACACAAAATGACATTTACATAGATGTGACGTAATTCGCTCTGATTGGTGTTCAACCTATCATGGCGGTTTGCTGTATTTAGTAGTTTTATTTTTATCAGTGTCGCTCATAATATAAAAATAAATGCGTTTTTTATAATCATATTTCATTAGATAAACATATAATTTTAGTGATTCTTGGTTACTGTCATCATGCCTATTAATGCCTTTATGTTTGTCAAGTGTAAAATACTTCATGTAGGTACGCACTGGGGTTCGAAAGAATTTTTTTCTAAAAATTAACATTTCAATTTAAACAGTTAATCTGTCTGAACGCTCAAGGAAATTTTTTCATAAACCACTTGGTATAAGAACTTTATATTTTATATTGAACTCATTAATAACACAAAACTCAAGGTTTTTAGTAGGCACAATACTTGTTTTATATAGTATTTAAAACTTTTTTATTATGGTGTTTCTGCAGTTAAACATAAACATGTAAATTTATTTTTATTAATATACAGGGTGATTCCCAACCTATCCGAAGAAATTTGGGAATAGATGCATCATGAAAAATGGAGTCAATATCGTAAAAAAAAGTTTGTAAAATCCTTATAGTTTCCGAAAAAAATTAATGAAGTTGTAGTATTTTCAACCTTTACATCGTTGGAATACATATATTGTTTTAATTTATAGTGAAACAAGACATTTGTGTTATAGTGAAGTATTTGTGTTATGGTGAAGCAAGACAACATTTGTGTCAGTTCGTAGAAACTGGGTAAGATGTGCCCAAATATGTTTACACATCGATGGACAAAATTTTGAATAGTTGTTGTAACATCAGGTAGATATGTTAAATTATTTTAATATTAAAACCACAAATTAATTTTATTAATAATAATAATAGCGGCAAAAGCAGTTGGATTTGCTAATATAAAATAGGTGTTATAAAATTATATTTATTTTTTTCCTTGGGAAATAAATTATTTCAAATTTTTGTTCGTTCGAGTTTTATTACACTTTGGCGCCGTTTCCACCGTGCAGAATCACTCTGTACGAGTATGTGTCATTTTAGCAAGTTCAAATAGATTCAAAAATGTTTCCTAAAATTCTATCAAATGAAGTCAAACAATGTTCCTTGGAAGGGGAAAGGGAAGCACTTTCACAACATGAGGAAGTCTCAAACACCTGTTTGTAGTGGTTGTGAACAGGAGTACGAGACAGTACTAGATTGCTATGCGAATGCACTGCCGTCTCGTCAATAAGAGAATCCGTGTTGGGAGAACGTTGGCCTTCTATGGCCTATATTAGAGAGATCCCCCTGAGCAACGTCATCACCTTTTCTCTCTAATAGGTTGGTTAGCGGCTCAGGTGGATTGATGTCCTAACGGGAGGAAGTACAGGGGCCCAATAGGGCCTAAGTGCTGCAGCTTTTAAGCTACCCTCCCTAAATTCCAGATTCCTTTTATAAGAGAAATTTAGTAAAAAGGACAAATATTGGTTAGGTAAAAAGAAATTCATTTATCTACATATTGTCAAAACTTTTGATATTATCGTTTGAAATTAATTTTTTTCGAAAAGGTTTGCGTTTTATTTATTTATTTTTTATTACAATATTTTGTTCTATAAATATTTATTATATGTGTTTACAAGATACCACTTGAATAAACGATCCCCAAAATGCAGAAATAATTAAACCATGTTAAGTATATTAAATTTATTTGAATTTAAGATAAATTTATAAAATATATTTATTTAAAGGAGGAATACCAAAGTTTGTTTTTTCTGTATATTAAACAAAAATTAAAATAATGAAGAACGTAACGCTTTTTAAATAGACCGATGCTATTTCTCCTCCATTGCTTTATTTGTAAGTGATAAGTTTGTACCTACGCAGAGAGGAATTTATTTTTGTACATGTACATATTACATACATACCAAAAACAACATCAGTATAATGACTATTCTCCTCCTAAATAATTGTGCTCATCAGCTACGAGAAATACTTAGTTATACTTACATGTATACACGTATATAGAACGAAAATAGTAACACAATAACGTAATCCTATACTGGCTATTAATTAAGTACATCGAAAATATTTAAGGACAGTTCTTTGAATAATTTTGAACTAAAAAGGTGATATATAAACATGGTTCTGCAAAGTTTTTGGGATACTACATATCTATACACGATTTTTAACATATCGTAATCATAAAACGTCCAATAAAATAGTTGCAGGAATTTTTTCTTCGACACCAAAAAATCACATGAAGTTTTTGTTATGAACGAGTAATTCTAGTTATTTTATTTGCGCTGTCTGTTAAAATAAATGAAAATTCGAAAAATAAATATAAATAGTTCATTTTTCGAGTAAACTGAGAGATATTATTCTTCTTTTTAGAAACACTGTAAGGAGTTACAGGTAGTAAAATAATAAGGAAGATTCCATTGTTTTCATCCAAAGAATGAACAAACAACGAATTACCGTATGAAGAATACAACAACGTGCATATTAATTATGACAAATATTCAGCACGAGATACAAATATAAAAGTTGAAAAAGATCAAATAAGACCTGGCAAGAAGAAATAAGACAAAGACAAGAAGGTAGTAATGAACAAAAAATTTGTATTTTATCTTTAAAAAATTTTCTTGTGTGACCAGGAAGGCCTTCGACTTCAACTGTTCCCACGTTCAGAAGGCCAAAGATCTAGGGCGTACAAATCGCCGATTGACTTCAAAGAAATTACAGAAGACCTCTGCATCTCAATTGGGTCATGCCATGAAACTTTGACTGACAAATTGAAAAATTGACCATGCATCGAATTGCAGTAAAATTTGCAACTCATTGAACAATCCAATAACGATGAAACATTCATTCAAAGGATCATAACGTGAGATGAAAGCTGGGTTTCTGGCTACGAGATTGAGACAAAAGTTCAATCATCATAGTGAATTGTCAAAGGATCTTCACGCACCAAGAAAACACGTTAGTCTCGATCCAGTGTCAAAGTGATGGTGTTTTTTTTCCACTTTAATGGAATTGTGCATTTCGAATTCTTCCCTCAAGCACTGTCGTTTTCAGACTATTGATAACATTAAAGCAAATTCGTCACATACTTTAAAGGTCATTTCAAATGAGGCTATCCAGGACTGCTTCGTGAAATGGAAACACCGCTGGAAAATGTGTGTGAATAGGGGAGGGAACTACTTGGAAGGAGACAAGAACCAATAACGTATAAAATTAATAATAAAGTTTAAAAAAATAAAGTTCGGTTATTTTGTGAACACACCTCGTATTGTACTATAGTAACTTATATTTATGATATAAATAAAGAGGTATCTACTTGTTTAGCAACTAATAAAGGTGATTTTTTAAATAACAGTAACCGTGTTTGTTGCAAACATGTCCTTCATTTTAATATGGACGTGTTAAGAGAGATGTTTATATAGCAAAACAGTTTTATTAAAATACTGGTATTTTACTTGTTTGAAAAACGTATCATTTCACCAAAAATAACCTTGTTCTTATAATAAAATTACAATTTCTACATTTCTAACAGCTAAAGAAATTCGACAGAGCTATTTGTTGCTAAAAATAAAATACGTACCCCAGGAACTTCTCGCTTTGGTCTAGTTGTTAAATTTTCCGAGGAATATATAGGAACGTCCAAATCACTAACATTGGAAGAGATGCTGCCTTCCCTAACATTGTCCCTTCTAGGTATTTGCAGAAGGGCCATGGCCTGTTGCTGCTCGATCGTTGGGCTTTTAAGGTAGTGACTTTCACGGATAAATCCGACGCCTTCATCGTCATCGTGGTCCATTTCGAAAGGTACGGAAATCGAAAATCTAACCTTTTTATTAGTACTCAGTGCGAAAAAACGTCGATTTATGAGTTTCAGCGCATACTAGAACCACTTGTTGACTGTCCAGATAAAAATTCACACGTACTTTGTAACCGTTCTAAAGTTCTTTATGGATTTTCTCTGAGGATTGATATATTGTTAATTGCGGTATTTGTACACAGCTTCACGGCGTTATTTAAAATCTGACTGAATGACCCCTCAAAGACACAGTCGTCGCGGCGCTTTAAGATGGAAAGTATTTTTAAACCCGTGACGCTCGACGTCATGCATTGGTCCTTTTCTTTTCGTCAATAGAAAACATACAAAATTTTATGCCAAGTACCCGATTTGACTGATAAACGTGCTCTGTCGTCTATGTAAACGTTTATGTAATCTTATATAGCGCCATTAGATGATGATTTATTGGACACCTGACAAGTATACTGTGTTGGTTTTTCAAACACCAGATTTAACATGAAATTAATTATGTCATCCCTCTTAACTATACAGCAGATAGACAAAAAGTGATGACGAATATAATTTTTTTTTACTGTATAATATAATTTTGGAAACAAAAAAATGTTTCCAACCTAAAATGTAATAGTACCTAGTATATTACATAAATATTTATAAACAACTTTTAGCTATAAGCATCACTAGTTCCCGTCTAATTTTAAAATATGAATTAAAAAACAGAAGCATAAAACCTTTTATTTTTAATTTTTGTAAATTTTAATAAATGCAATAAATGCAATTGATCCATTTTGTTTTTCACTAACTGAACTGAACAAGAATACCTACATTGTAGTATCAACTTAAAAATTATCAATTTTACGTTTTTTTTTGGCAGCAAATAATAATTTCTGACTAATTTTGTAGTAGATCATCCCTGTAAAAGTTAGTGAAAATTCTGTAATTGATCATCTACAATGCATCTGCGTTTCCATATAACTCAGAAATTCTTTTCTAGCTTCGACAATGCCTTGCTGAAGTATGATATTAGTTTTTTTCTTCATTCTGGATTTGTGATTTCTCACCAGATCGTTGATAGGCTAATATCGGTGGTGAACATAGAGTTTCTTTGTTCTTGAAATGCATGGAGTTTATTCATAAAGTTAGCAATTTTAAGTCAGTCGGTGTAATAGTGTAGCAAGATCTGCGAATTATCGAACAAATCTTTTGTAATAGGAATACAGACCTAGGAAACTCTTTAAGCGATATTTGTACATTGGAATAGGCCAGTTTCGTACAACTTCACGTTTCCTTGGATCAATCTTGTTGATATAACATGACCCAGGTTTTTAACATCTCTTTGAAGGAAGCTACACTTGGTGCATTCAGTTTTAGGGTAGCTCATTTAAGCTTCTTTAAACATATTGCCCGATATAATGAAGTCATGGAGGTATACAAGACAGGTCTTCCAGATAAATCTTTGTAACAGAGCCTCCATGAGTCTCTCGAAAGTGATTGGAGAATGTGGAGGCCAAAATGCCTGATATTGAAGTCTCTCAAACCTATTCCAGTCCTTGTATCGACAACTACTTACCAATTGGCTTACCACTTTTGAGATACCTACAACGTAAAGAATATGTCTATAGGTGTTATCAATTCTAAATAGAAGGTAACTGTATTTCTTTGTTATGTCATATTTCTGTGCACACAAAGCCTAGTATTATCATCTTTCTCGATGACTTACACCATAATCAGCTAGATCACTACGGCTTTACAGATGCTCCTATTTAGCATACCGTCGATGAACCCCGTTCCTCGAATGTTCGAATCATATTTCATGTTCCTCGAGAGGTTTTACACTTCCTCTTGTTTTGTCAATATATTTTTTCATGGCATTTATTTATTGGTGCAGATCATCAATATTAATTTGCCTACATCGTTATATTTTAGTAAAACATTTTAGTTCTTGATTATTCAAAAATAGTTTTACCCTTTCAAACTAATAATTCTCAATATGCCGCACCTGTCATCAATATGCTATCTCTTTCTCTTTCTCTCTCTCGCCGAATGCGATTGTATTCCTGTCATATGGGATAAGTCGTAAGTTAATCACGTTCGGCGAGAGAGACAGCATGTACGTATATCTCCCTTCACCTTGCAACACGCCCGTCCATTGAAGGGCTACCTCCAGTAATATACCTGCTGGAAGCATACCTATACTAGTGATTGATGCTTCAATGTGTTATAAAATAATCCTGACTGTGAGAATAAAACACATTAAACCATCGTCAATGAGACAAAGGATCATCATTTTCTTGATTTAGATAACACAGCCCCACAAAAAAAATTCTGTGCATCGGACTAGAATACTATATCCTTATGTTATACATTATATGTTTTTGGGGTCGGTGAGTCCTAATCCGAGGTCCGTTTGACCTTTTCAGGTCAGGTTAAAGGTCATTTCAAGGTCAAACCGAGAAGCGAATCATTCTACACATCTCCTTTCGGAGCAGTTGTCATCGTTTCCAGTATCCTTCATGGTAGCAGCATTGTAAAGGCTCTATTACAACCATCATAGAATACGAAACGAATATTACTATATTGTTGTCATGTACCATATAACGCACTCAACTGTCTACCAAAATTCTCCCTCAACTTCAAGCACGGCAATACTATCCAGATCCAGAACCTTTCTTACCGCGAAAAAATGTCAGTAACCAATAATGCTGTATAAAATTACAGCGTCGGATTTTCAAATGTGATTGAAAAACATCATGCTAATGTGAAGACTCGTGAATGTTGAATCTTTCGGTCCATTATAGATGAGCGAGGCAAAAATTACTTTGTTAAGACAAGCCAACTAATTGGTATTAGAATTAAGTAGCTTTCAAATAACATTGACCCTGATGCAACAAGGTCAAATAGAGTCCTAATAAAGTCACCAAAAAAACCTGGAGTATTCCCACTAAACCCTATTTAGAAGTTACTCAGTTTAACCTCAAAATTACATTAATCTTGACCCGGTAGAGACAAAAGGAACCCTAATTTGGACAGCGACCCGACCCGAAAAAACATTTAATTACTTTGATGTTGTCCTCGCTATAGTGGATTTTTCTCAGTTTGACATTGGAATGACCTTATAATGACCTTGAACCTGTCCTAACCATTTCAAACCGACCTGGTTTCGGACTCAGCGACCCTAAAACATATAATGACCATGATGTTGCCTACACCACAGCTGATTTTTCTCGGTTTGACGTTGAAATGATTTTTAACCTGACCTGAAAAGATCAAACGGACCTGGATTCGAACCCAACGACCTCGAAAACGTAAGGATATAGGGGTCTAGTCCGATGCACATAATTTTTTTTGTGGGTCTGTGTAATTTATGATCTAAAATTGATAACCAAACACTAAGATTTGAAAGAAAATGTGTAAATCATCAAGTTGAAGGTGAAAATATCGCAGCAATAGTACTTTTATAATTGTTTAATATTTAAAGTTGCAAGACTTTGAGTAGGTATTACACAAGGCATTCATTTTGCAGAATTTGCGCAACATTACTAACTGATACAAGTATTGGACACACTAGCATAAAAATATTGATATTGTATATTGCACTATACTCCACGGTCGAAATTATAGAGTGATTCATCGCAAGCTTTTGGACCAGTAAGGGGGATGAAGCGTGCCAGGAACGAAAATCCATTGGCGTGTCTGCGTAAAAGGCAACAAGATATAGAAAATAATGAAAAAAGATAATAAAACATAACATCTAATATTTTTTCACGGTTTGCTATAACCGGCACTTTGATCCATTTTAATTATTACAGCATTTTAAAACGTCCCAGTTGTGTTTTTTTAATTTATAAATTTATTATAGCCATGGAATTAGACCCCTCGTCTAC